TCATTTAAAGAAGCATGTCCATCTGGCACGGCTTTAAGCAGCCGGTCTCTTTACTTTTACCTTTGAAGGTTGTTGGAGCAAGGGGAGTTCTCCGATTGTGCAGTTTCGGATTCTTATTCCCACAACTTTTAAAAAATAGGTTTATGGTTCATTCCAAAGAAATAGTTGTAACAATGCCAGAAGTTAAGGGGCAAGAAGAGACAAGATATTTGTATTCGGGATTACAGCTTTCACATTATATTGATAAAAAGTACTCTATGTATTGCATTATTTTCATTTTAGATTTTCAAGCAGTGGTTCTCAACCAGAAACAATCTTGCCCCCCAGGGGACATTCGGCAATGTCTGAGACATTTTTGGTTGTCACGAAAATGGGGGGCTGCTATTGACATCTAGTGTAGAAACTAGAAATACCACTAAACATCCTATTCTGTGTGAGAGAATCCTCTGCAGCAGTGAATTATCTGGCTCAAAATGATAATTGTGCTGAGGATGTGAGATCCTACTTCAAAGCAATTGTGGTTCACTTTTTAAAATTATACTACACTGTGAATCTCTTAGGTTGACACTTTGACAAGTCTGAGTAACGGCTGATATTCTAATTCTTGGTGTGGGGTGAGCACAAGAAAGACAAAATATTTAGACATCTATCTAGTATATTACTCAGTACACCCATAAGTCATTGAAAGACAGTTTTCACATAAAAATATTTGAGTGTCTCTTAACCATTTCATTTATCAATCCTATTTATATAACTCAGTCTTATAAATCTTTTCCCTTTTTTGCTTGTCTTAAAAAACACAATATAAGACTGAGAAGTAGATAAGATTTCAGCTTCAGTCATGTGACTACCATCTTAGGATCCACCCTGAATTTCTGGGAGCTAGTATTTATGTTTATAAAGAGCAGACATCTGTTAAGTCTTAGGAACCCAGCTTGAAGCCCTGGTCTGCCCAGGCCTGAATGTATTGCATTTTGGAAAATAGAGTCTTGGTCCACAGAAAGTTCATTTTCTTTGTTCAAATTACTTAAAAATCCTGAGTGTTGGGGCCTGCCTGGGTGTAGTGGTTAAGTGCAAGTGCTCCGCTGCGGCGGCCAGGGGTTGTCAAGCCATGCAGTGGTGGCCTCCCGTATAAAGTGGAGGAGGATGGGCGTGGGTGTTAGCCCAGGACCAGTCTTCCTCAGCAAATAGAGGATTGGCAACAGATGTTAGTCAGGGCTAATCTTCCTCGCACACACAAAAAAATCCTGAGTGTAAGCATCTTCATATCACCAGTAGATGGATAAAGGAGAGAGTACATGTAAAAGATTAGCACTTGGCCATGCTCAGAAGAGATGGATTTCACAATGCAGCAACACACCCAACAAAATTAAAAAAACACTTAGTGAGTAAGGCTTACCACAGTGTGCCTGATTGTCCCACCCTCCGTTGTCCCTGGGTTCCTCTTTATGGACTGTGGTACTTCCGGGATTCATGATTGGGAACACCAGACACTATTTTTTTCCTAAAATAGATACAACATATATGTGTTGAAGGCCCATGCCACAGGATACAAAGGTGGATAAATTGATTATTCTCTAAGCCTATTTCTCCTACGCTCCTGTTTCTCAAAGGTAATTCTTATATCAAGCATCTATTTTAAAGGCAAATAATATAGGAGCCTTTGTAGGGTGTTATTTTTGCCTCCTTGGCATCTATATTCCCTTTTCTGTCATCAATCCTTTGATTGTCTTTTGGGGAGCTGCCACTCCCCTCTTCTTAGTTTATGTAGTTGAAACAAGGTTGGCCCTATCTTCAGCTCCATTGGATGAGCACACAACCCAGATATTGCCAAGAAGCATATCCTTCACCAAGGAATCTGATTCAATGATGGGCAACTGAAACCAGACAAGCCAGTGAGAGATACACTGGGAGTTTATTGGATGTAATGGCCCGTTATGCAGTGCAAAATTAATTACAAATTAAGGCAGCAGAGAAAAAGCTTAACCTGGAGAAAAAAGACCAACTCTGGCATAATCTGAGTATCTGGATCCAGCAACCTGAAGCCTGATACCCCTGAGTATTTTAGTTATATGCACCAATAAATTCATCTTCTTTTCTTTTTAAGCAAGTTTGATTTCATTTTCTACTGCTCGTAACCAAAAGTGCTAAAAATGTAAGAAGGGAGAAAAACTGAAATATGAAACAGCTGAAAATCAGAAGATATTTGTGTCGTATAAAATGATGCACTTATTCCTTTTACCTTCTCTTTAATATTTAAACTTAATTTTAAAGAGATGTTTCAACCAATTTAGCCAATTTGTTTCTCATCTGACACTTTTTTCTCCTAGTGGATGTGTTACGTTGTGGAAGATTGACTTTGGTTCCATGGAGGGTTCATTTTCTTTATTCTTAATATCACACGATAGGCTTCCAATGAATAAAAGAACATTTTCTTTCAATGTTATCCATTGTGTAGTGAAAATGATTGACTCACTAAACACCAACCACGAGACCAGTCAATCTCGTTGATTCAACAAAAGTATCACCCGCAGTTTAAAAATCTTTCAGCTCCTGAAGCTAACTTGCAAAACATATGTAATAATTATGTCTGGAAGTATTGGGCATAGTCAAGATTCCTTATCTCCCTTATTAAGTAATGATTTGAGAAATAAGAAAGAGGGAATTGTTCAATTAAAAAAAGCAACCTTAAACTATAAACAATATTTAAAAACAAAGAATTGTTAAAGTTTCTGGGTGGAAAGACTCAGCCGTCTTTCTCGATTTCTCTGACCACTTGTCAGTTATGGATCTATTGCAAATTAAAATAAATGTCATCAGAATTTTAGAAATTTTATGTCATTAGAATTTGGAAATTTAAGAATTAATTTTATATGATAGGATTTATTGATATTTTTAATATCCAAGGTACTAGGAAAACCTAAGTGGTAATCAGTCATGCAAAGTTTGGGGCACGTTTCCATTTGAATGCAAATGTTGTTATTATCTTTAAGGTACTGCTCCACCAACTTGTCTGCATATTGGAATCACTTGGGCATTTAAAAAAAATACTGATAATTGAAATATATGATATTTAGGTACCACCTGCACTTAAGGATGTTAAAAAACCTCTCTGGATGATTTTAATGTGCAAAGTTTGAGAATAATTCTTGTAAGACACTACTTCTATAATTATAATGTTCATATAAATCACCTGGGGATGGTATTAAACTCGGAATGTGACTCAGTAGGCTTTGGGTGCCGTCCAAGATTCTGCACTTCGAACTTTTCAGATGATGCTGATGTTGCTCCTGTGAGTTCCACACTCTGAGCAGCAGGGCTCTAAGGCATTGATTGTATTTTTGGAGTAAATGTAAATAAGGGAATTTTCTAGCGTCACCCCCCCATCTCAAATTAAGACTGGCAATCTCTTGTAATGTTGATGTTTGTGGTAGTCCAATTTGATCTGTGGAGAACATGTTATTGCGATGAAGCCTTGTAGAGAGCTGTTATTCCTGCTGATGGTACCACCTTTGCAAAAAGTGGGAGAAAGAAGAAGTGAGTGCTACTGAGTTTGCTGATTTTCACAGCCTCTGGCTTTATTCAAATGGTTAAGCCTTGGGCAAAATAGCAAAGCTCGACTTAGTACCTCCGCCCACTCTTTCAACACCTCCCCTCTCCTCCTTCTGGTCTGGTCCGCTGGCCCAGCCAACCTCCTCCCTGCAGGCTGTCTCTACTTCTGTGGCCTTTGCTTTAACTCAAGAAGAATAAATTGGGTCTCCAGATCTTAGTCCTTCTTAGTCTCACCAGAGCATGAACCTCCAAATCAACCCTTGGTTGGCAGGCCTGTTTGTGGATAATTCAGGAATGTTATGACCTTCAGTTTGGGATTGGAAATAAAATCTCCTTTTCTTCACCTTCTATTCAGTGTCCTCCTGATATTTCACCACTTACCACAATGGCATCCTCTTCTGAAATAAAGTATGAGTGCCAACACATCATAGTCCATGTGCTAAGGAACTAACTTCAAGAAAGACCCCAATCCCTAAGTCTCAAAAAACCTAATTTCAAATCCTGTTTAGTGTATTTAAAGAATAGTCAGCATAAAAGTAACAATATGCAGAAAATTTTCTTAGCAGCAAAATTATCCCGAAGAAGGACCTGGTTTTCTCGGGTGAATATTTTGATAAGTTTGGGTTGAGTAAAGTGTAGAGCCTTTCAAGGGGCATGCTTGAGAAAACAACAGAAGTTTTCTCTAGAGTTAAATAGAGAGCATTTATTTTGTCAAGTGAGTTATCGAAGTTGAAGATGAGCTGAGAACAGTAGGAAAGGGTTTTGGCAGCTGTGTCAGGAAGAGGGGCAGGCGAGAGATGGTGTTACTAGCAGAGAGAGATGGTGTTATTAGCAGAGAATGATTTTTCTAAGGCAAGAGGAGATTAGCTATCTGAAGGGAATTTTAATACATTTCTTCAATGTGATATACAATAGGAATCCTCTTTTTTATCTCCTTGTGGAGTCTACCTCTACTAGACTATCCATTTCTCATGAACGTGTTGAGATATTTTGGTATCTATTTTATAATTTTAAAATGTAGTTAGATCCCGCCACTCCTACACTCAGAATTTTCTAGTAGTTCTCCATTGCATCCAGAGTAGAAGCTAATGGCTTTACGATGCTCCCCAAGGTGCTACGTGAGCTCATCTCGTGCTTATCCCTGACCTCATCTCTTTTTCCTCCCTTGCGCATTTCACTGTTCTCAGAACACATGGCCGTGTTTCCTTCCTTGTGGTCTTTGCCTTGGCTATTCCTCTGTCTGGAATGATCTGTCCTGAAATATCTGCACAGCTCCTTTCTCCTCCTGCTGCAAGCCTTTGCTCAAATGACTCTTTCTCAGCAGTTAGATTTAAAGTTGAAAGCTCCTTCCCAACCTCATAACCCATTTGTCACGCTGTTTCTTTTCTCTGTAGCACTTCTCTCAGTATGCTACAGAATTTATTTATATGTTCTTGTTCTCCTCCACTCCCAATTGTAAGCTCCATGAGGATAGGGGTTTACGTCTTTTTCCAGTGATGAGGATTCAGCACCTAGAACATACTCATTGAAGAAATGAATATATAGAAATGCCCATTAAGATTTCCACGTTGCCCATAAGAAGTCAGTCACAACCAAATTATTTGGACGTTACTCATCATAGTGCTTCTCACCAGTGGCTAGTAAATTTAGTTGATTAAAAATACATGAATTATTCCCCCACGCTCTAATCTCTTTTGAGACACCTAATTTCTCTAAGTCCAGCTTAAAATTGGATATACTTGATACAACAACTTTAAACCCTTAGAACAAATATGAGGCTTTCCCGGCAGGGGTTTACACTGTGTTAATATCTTCATCTCTGCTGCTTGTCCCCCCATTCCCACTGACGGCCAGCCCTTCCCCCAAAGGCATACTCTGCAGCTAGTGCCTCCTCAGCCAAGGATTGCTCCAGGTTCTGACTTCTGCTTATCTCTTTGAATTTGTCTTATGCTTCGTCTTGACAAAGATTCTTTGCCTGACCTAACTTTAGTAAGATTTCTGAACCTTCTCCTAGGCCCATCTGTACACTTATAAAATACAGTTTTAGCAAGAACCCTGCTGAGTGAGTTTAATAAAACCCTCCACACTTGATATCTGATCAGGTTGCTCATCCTCCACCATTCATCCTTCATCCTCAGACACCAGTCTAATCACCCTGGCCTGTCTTCAGCAAGGATCCTTTTAGGTCGGTTTAGCCAGGATCCTCTATCGCTGGTGTTTCGTCTTAGTAAGTTTCCATCCACTGACCTCCAGACTTGCTCCTTGGCTAAATATTCCCGCTTGCCCATGCTGTATTCAGCGTTGAGCTCAATCTCTCCTCCACTGTAAAATCCCATTGTAGCCCTCCCTATACCTATCATAAAGGTCTTGAATAAAGTCTGCTTTACCATCTGTAATAAGCGTCATTGAATTTTTTTTCTTTAACAGTCTCCCTGTCTTTCTTCCAGTTGTTCTATACCCACAGTTTTTTCTTCTGCTCAGAACTTTTGCTTACAGTCAAAAAGATCAGAGGTTCAATCTAGGCTTTGTCATTATACAGCTATGCAGTGTTGGACGTATTATTTATATTCTCTAAGCCTCAGTTTTCATGTCTGTGAGATGGACGTATTGTTTCAATTCTTTCTTGTACGCAAGATGGAAATAATGATTTTGACCTCATAGACAACCTTGACCTCCTGGTGAGTATTAAGTGAGATGATGCATCAATAGTGTTCTTAACTAAGTGGTCAATAAATGTTTCTTCACCCTTTCTTCTACTGCCTTCTTTTATTAGCTTCTGTTGAATGACAGAATTATGAAATCTTTAGTTTGAAAGGTACAGTAAGGCCATTTGGTGCAGCTATTCATCTACAAATCTGTTCTTTATCATCTTTGCAAGTGATCATTGTGACTCTGATTGAAGCTTTTATTTCCTGCCAAAGCAGCCTGTAATCTATTTGCTTTAGATATTACCAGTGTTTCTCATATATTGAGATTGAATTGCTCACCCTAAAACTTCCATTCTTAATCCTAACATCTAATTCTGGGTGTTCTACAGAAAAATCTAAATGAGTTTTTACTGCATGATAGCCTTTCAGAGAGTTGAAAATAGTTATCCTGTCTTTTTATGTTTTTAATCATCCGGACTAATGTCCCAGAGTAATATTGATTACTCAGAATGGTGTTTTGATTTCCCTCCCATCCTCATCATTTCTTTGTGAAACTGTCTCATGAGACTGTAGAACAGAGTGGTTAAAGACGCTGCTAGGGTTTCAGTCTGACCTCAGGTTTCACTTGAGCTCTGGCATTTATTACCTGTGAGCCTGGGATAAACTTCTCTAAGTGTCTGTGTCTTCGCATGTAAAGTGGATAATATTAATGAAAGGTGGCTGCATGTGAGTGGTTTCGGAAACAAGGTGGACGATGTGTTTAGCACACTTAACACAGGGCCTGGAAGTGTGAGTCGGTAGTTGTGGAGCCCTGCCTGCCAGAGGCAGCCTGGATGGTGCAAAACTAAAGCAGCGCTGTCCCCCTTTGTTCTGGAAACTGTAGTTGCACCTATGTAGTCTCAGGGAGAATGGGGTTTTGTTGGCACCGACATCAGTCAACTCACACACATTCCATTTGGAATCAACAATACTAAGGATAGAAGTAAGACGTTCTCAATGACGCATTACAAATGCAAAGAAAGTGAATAGAAAAGCCTATAAAAAGTTTTAAAGGATTGAAATATAAAAATTTATTCTATGGCTGGGGAGATTACATGTTAAGAAAATAGTTTAGTGGGACAGCAAGGGCTCATTCATCCATTCATTTTTTTCCAAGAAATGTTTATTTAGCCCCAGCTATATTCCAGGCACTGTGCTAGGAACAAGTATCTTTTCTCACTCCCCTCACTACTGCATTCTCAGTAGTGGTTAATTACAACAAAGAACTAAATTCAATTTGATTTAGATTTATTTGTCTCCATAAACTTAAATGACAGAATAAAATATAGTATGGTTTTATTTGTTCTAATTTGGATTATAAAATTTAAAATCATACAAGATGAAAATATTAATAAAGTCTGTCTTCTACAAAATGAAACAAGTATTGTGAGGCTAAAAGTTTTTAAATTCTTCAGAATTGCAGAATGTCCATCTTGAGTGACCTATTGACTCTACTGGGGTTGTTGCCATGTGAAGTACCACTTAAGCCGGGAGACACAAGAACCAGCCAGCATTTGGCAGAATGTGACTTCGATTACGTGCGTTTTGAATTGTGAAAGGACTTTAAAATATATCCTCTGCAAAAAATGTGGCTTTCGCAATTTGTGATGATCAATCCCATTATCACCTAAAGGATTCTTAAAACAAGGGATTTGTGACAGCAACAAAATATCCTACAAAGTATCAGTAAGGCATCAAAAGATGACATAGGATGAAGTCTTTCAATCATGAGCAACTGATGGCAAAGCAGTATAGCAATAATGTTAACCTTGTGGCAGCAACGAGTTGCCGACATACCTTAAAATGGTTATCACTGTGAGAGTGATAAGGTTTTGCAAGCATTCTATAGACCAGGGAAAATAAATCCATAGAGAGATTCTTTCACTTGAACCAATCTGGCATAACAAAAGGATATTGAAGGATTTGTCTCTATGATCTGAATACTGACTGAGCTACTTATGAAATGCTTTTCTCTTCCATTTGAACTGAATACTTTGACAGTGAACGTGTGGCAGGGAAAGGAATCCAGGCATATGCACATAGAGAAAGATATGATTAAAATGTAAAATAAGTACACATAATTGCTAAATATTAGAAAAAGAACTTTGACACGAAAACTGATTTCCTGGAGGAGGAAGACTATTGGGTTCTAAACCAGTGAAGTTAAAGAAAAGGAATTTCTTTATTGGGTTAAAGAAAGGGAAATCATTCCAAATGAGACATTTGATTTTTAGAATAGAAATTTTATACACTGTATGATAAAGGTCCTGGTGTTACCGAAACCAAAGAGGGTTCTGCCTCCTGGCGAGTTAAATCAGACTCTCCACCGGAAGTAGTTGTCACACAAAGTAGGGTGTATTTGCAGCAAATAGGAGGACACATGGAATCATTTCCAAAGTCGTGGCTGTCCAAGAACATGGGAAAGCAGGGGCTTTTTATTTCAGTTGGGGAATGAATATTCAAAAGGGAGAGGTGGGTATTCACTTGCGCAGGCTCAGTTGGAAAACATGCTTCCACATACACTGCGGGTTATGGTAATAAGGCTTTTGCGCCTCCCGGAGTGGAGATCTTAGCATTAAAAATGAGGCAAAGGCGGGGCCAGCCCAGTGGTGTAGTGGTTAAGTTTGCGCGCTCTACTTCGGTGGCGGCCTGGGGTTCAGAGTTTTCGGATCCCAGGCGCGGACCTATGTGCTGCTTATCAAGCCAAGCTGTGGCAGGTGTCCCACATATAAAATAGAGGAAGATGGGCACAGACATTGGCTCAGGGCCAATCTTCCTCAGCAAAAAAAAAAAAAAAAAGAGGAAAACGTCATAGGCCTCCCTCTTGTGGTGAGGCTTGATCTGGTTCAGGGTGGTTGGTGATTGCATTTCTTAAACAGTTAAATGCTTCTGAACCCACCCTTGAGTTCCTTAAGGCAATTAGTTGGTGACACTGAGTCTATCCTTCTCTGCCCTAAGCATAACAGATATGCAGTGCATCAAAATTGTAAGCTTTGTTCTTGTGATGTGCAAGGCAAAAACATGCTCAGGAGGCGTGATTCAGAAACGTGAAGTCTTTTCAACTGCAAGATAGGGTAGAAGATTGGTACAGGGTTTTTCTTTTGTTTTTATTTTAACTTAATAGTCAAGTGGACAGAATAAAGACAAAAAAGAATTATTAATTTATTTTTTAGCACAAAGGATCTGATCAGGCTTCCCCCAGTATAACAGGATGTTACTGTGATAAAAGCAAGGACTCAGAAACCAAATTTCTTGGGTGGATGTCCCAGCTATAAAATTGGGATAATAATACTAGCTACCTTAGAAGGTTAATGTAGACCTTGGGACAATGCCTGACACAAAATAAGCACTCAATAAATATTGCCTATGATTGTTACATCCCCAAAAGAAATAGAACCAGCTCAGAATCTCTGAAAACACTATCTTGCCTTCCAGTTTCTGTCTAGAAGTTAAAAGAGGAATAAAATATGTAATAGAACAGAACAAATTTCAAATAATCAAAATAAGCTGCTTTTCTGGATAAAGATGGTAAAATGAACACAGCAGTTTAAATCCTTTCCTATCCACTCTTTCTCGGTGTGCACCGTCTCAACTTCTCGGTGAAATGGCTAAAAGAATAGAGAAACAATTGAAAGTAAGTAAAGGGGTTTCGGCCTATCCCCCCAATTTTTTGGAATGTCTAAAACTTAAAGCATCAAAGAAAGGGCTGATCCATCCTAAATAAACTATGTCCAGAAGGAAGACAATACAAGGACCATACTACAGAAACACTCTCTAAATAAGAGGTGTAGGAGCTCGTGCAGATGTGGTCCGTAGAGGAATCGGTGGGAATCGTCAGGCACTGGGTGCCCACTACCTAGTTTAGAAATACGTCCTCAATACTTAAAGGCAGTGAAGCCCAGCCTGAATGTCGGGCTAGATGAAGACCAGCATCCTAGCAAGAACAACCATGTCGCTTTCACTGGAATTTGCTAAAACAATGTGGAAAAGAACTCCCTCCAGTTCAGAGAAGGAGCTTGCCAATGTTGCTAGTCTTGCTTCCTTTCAGTAAATGGTAATTATTCCCCATGCCGTTTCTCTCTGACTAGCCTGCTTCTCCCGCTCTCCTCTCCAGAAGAAATTACTCTTCTTCACCTTTCAGGTCTCTGCATTCCTTCTGAAAGCTCTTACCTGCTCAGGCCAGCTCGCCTTGTAGCCCTCAAGGGAAAGTATTTGATAAACTCTCTCATCTGGGAATATTTCAATCTGGCGGGGGAAACCTTAAAAAGGCAGTACTTCAGCCAACAGAATGAGACTTTCACTATGTAAGAGCCCCCACCCTAGTTTCTGGGTGCAGGAGATATTAGGGAGACCCAAACTCTATAGCTCTAGATTCAACGAGGATTCTAGATAGACAGGTAAATATGTTTCTCCCTCCTTCTACACTGATTTCCAAGCTGTTCATTTTCTTTCTTTTCTACTCCCACCCATCTAAGGAAGGGTGGTTTTTTCTGAGTAGAAGATCATGTCTAGCAGTGGCCCTTCTTGTCATCTGACTCAGATCAGGATTCAGAAATATTTTCAAACAGTCCTTTGAGAAGAAGATGGGCTGCTGTTGTCTTTTGTTAAATGTTACTTTGTTTCAGCAGCTGTTAGTGGGTCTCTGGCTCTGGCCCTCTTTGAAACTCCTCACGGTGGTATTTGAGTTTGGTTGGGTGAGGAGGTGCTTGAAATGTGTGACAGGTGGTAGAGAGCTGAACTGGCCTGGGTTATCCTGTGTACCGAAATGGATATTCCAGCTATGTAAAATTTTAAAAGTTTCATTGACAATTGGTTGTGATGGGGTTCACAACACGCTACCCCAGAATATAGGACCTTGGCATATCGAATATCTTAAGCTGAAGGAGTTTGAGAAAACAGCAGAAGCAGAAGGTCACTGTGACCTCCTCCACCTCATCCTTCTTCCCTGAAACAGGTCATAAAACTCCTGTGTGAAAGGGACCCTCCTAGTCCAGGGGGAAGGAAGACATTCTTAACACCAAAGATGGGGAATTTGGGGCTAAGAATGTGTACAAACCAACCTTGTTAATCTAACCCTTATCTTCCTAGTTACCTCATCACCACTTACTACCCCTAGCCCAAACCCCTTTGTCTTGCCAATTCCTCACAAATTTATTGTTTCTTTGTCTAAAGGTAAAAACAAACTTCCTGCTCTGGTCACTTCTTTGGGTCTTCATTGTTTTGTTTTGTTTTTTTAATTTTTTGAGGAAGATCAGCCCTGAGCTAACATCTGTTGCTAATCCTCCTCTTTTTTGCTGAGGAAGATTGACCCTGGGCTAACATCCGTGCCCATCTTCCTCTACTTTATATGGGACACTGCCACAGCATGGCTTGATAAGCGGTGCATAGGTCCACGCCCAGGATCTGAACCCACAAACCCTCGGCAACGGAAACAGAGCAAGCAAACTTAACTGATACACCACTGGGTCGGCCCCTGGGACTTCATTCTTTTTGTGAAGGCTCCCACGTACATGTAAATATTCAACAAAATCTGTGTGCTTTTCTCTTGTTAATCTATCTTTGTCAGTTTAATTTTCAGACCCAGCCAGGGACATAAGAGGGTCGAGGAAAACTTTTTCCTCCTCTGCAGCTAAAAATTATGTGGTCGTTATAATACAATGAAATTGCAATCATACAATGTTTTTCTTAAAATCTTTGAGTAGGAAAATCTTAGTTTAAAAAAAGAAAAGTCCGGGGGCCAGCCCGGTGGCATATATAGTAGAGTCCCATATAAAGTGGAGGAGGATTGGCATTGGATGTTAGCTCAGGGCCGATCTTCCTCACACACAAAAAAAAATCTGAATCCACATGCACACATACAAACAGCCACAGAAGTTAATATTAATTTGAAGTTATTTAAGTCTAATAAGATAGCTTTTTGCTCCAACTTTCATTTGAACTTGAAAATAACAATAAAATGTGCCATGTGAAAGGAATTATTTTTCTCCTCTCTCTTTCTAAGTAGTCATCCTGGTTTTAAAACATGAGATAAAAGTCATCAATTTCAGTATGACTTAGCAATTTATTTACACAGTTTTACTGCTTTGGACAAAACACAGCTGAGTTTCAAGCTTGATGAAATATTGTTATCCACATAATTCATTTTCTGCTGCTTCAACAAGGTGTTTTGATTTGTGGGAGTTCCCATTTGAGGTTGAAATTGAATTGAAAATTCATGTGGAGGCTATACAGATGAGGCAAGTCTGAATATCAGGGAATGTCAATTAAATTTACTCTCTGGTCTTGGGCATAAAAACCTGCTCCTAAGGCCTTGAAAATAGTTCTCATTATCATGTCGACTGAAGTCAACAAATATAACTGAAATCTAAGCTTAGCATAAGTTGATTCCTAGATATTTGTAATAAATTGCCAATATATGTTTTATATATTTGTCACTTTGAGTTTTGTGTAAGTTACTAATGTTTACCAATAATGATTACCAGTAATTACCAATAGTGGTTTATTGGTCCTTTATGGGCCATCCTCACTTATTAAAGATGCTATTGATTGAGCTGAAATTAACAGTTCCCTATTAATTCATAATTCGTCTTTTAGTAGTAGTCTAAAAAAAAACAAAGGTGGCATTGGTCATAAATTAATTTAGAAACAGATACAAAGGTAGAAATAAAGACAGGAACAGCTGTTTTCTCATGAGGTACCAAGTAACTTCACAGTAGAAAAAAAGCCCGAATAGAAAAAAATTATTCATCTTCCCCCAAACAGTTTCCTTTTACTTAGAGAAATGGAAGGCAATTTGCTAGAGTCTGAGGAAAAAACACTCTCATAGTCTGTGAAAGCCCAATATCAAATTCTTTAGAATATTTTTAGATTTTAGACAGTATTTCAACATTACAAATAGAAATATATACATTTTTCAGAAAATATCATTGAACGAAAGGTCCCCAAAAAAGGAATTTTTAAATCTCTTCATTGGAAAATCTTTCTGTAGATTGCAGCTCTAAATTCAAAATGCCATCTTCTTATATCTTTCAGAAAGGAAGGTGGGCAGCTGAGGGAGGGTTTTTTATCCAAGTTCTGCTAAAAATGCACGGTTGACCAGAGGCTGTGTAATTTATTCTGCTTTGGGGTAAATGCTGCTCATTCAAGTCAATTAATGTATCCAAGATCCAAATACAATTCCACAGAACAAAGATAAAGGTCATGGAGAAAAGAGGTTAATTTGGGTTAGTAGAAATGATAAAGATGAAGGAGACACAGCCCATGCTCGTACGAAACGTATATTCTAGGGCTTGCCTTCTCAATGGAAGGATTTCAGCTGCAAGAGCGCCTTAGGGAGGTGATAATAAAAATATGCTTGAGAAACACTGCCCTGGCCCAAAGAATGAGACAATCATTGAATTAGATGCAGTATAGCAGAGTATTTTAAAAACAAGGATTCCTGACGTCTGACCTGAATGGACTCCTAACTACATCACTTACTGTGTGATCTTGAGCAAGAGCCTTAACCTCTCTGTGCTATAGTTGCCTCATCCTTAAAACAGAGATAAAAATAGTATCTACCTTAGAGGGTTGTTAGGTTGTGTAAAGGGCTTAACACATAGTAAATGTAAGCGTTTTTATAATTATTTCTATTATAATTATTTATTATTATTATTTTTATTATTAGTGAATGAATATGAGTTACCAACACAGGAAACCTGGGCTTCAATTCCCATTTCAATATTTACGAGCTTTGACCTTGCGCAAGTTACTTAAACTTGACAGTCTCCATTTATACAAGCTTTAAAAAGTGAATAAATCTACCTTTTTAGGCTTTTTATGAGTACAAAGTGACATGATATATGTAAACTGTGTGACCCTTAATGAGCACTCAAAAAATAATTCCTCTCCCTGATGACATAGGCAAAAAGTGGAAGGGAAAAAAAAAGGAATGAAAGTCTACGAAGGCTCATAAACGAAAATAAACAATTCAGTGACCTCTGTATGCCAACTGCAAACCTGAATCACTCATATTAAATATAAGTATAGAAAGCAAAAATGACTAATAGAGAAAGGTAACTATTGCAAGTGTTAGGTAAAAGAAAAATATGAGTGAAATGTCTTCATTTTCCAGTCACAGTTGGAAGATCTTCAAATAAGATCCATTCTTTTGAGTTTTTATGGGTAGATGTTCTTTCCTACATAGCTAACCTAAAAATTCCCCCCTTTTATGGGCAATTTTAGTTCATTCTTTTCAGCATTTTGAAGTATGTTCAAAATGGGTATGTTCACGCAAATGGGTCAGGTGTCACTATCCATGCAAAGCAGTTGATGACAACAGCAATCTTCATGAGGTTTAAATGTCAAATGTATTAGTCAAATGCCAAAAACTTAAGTTCAAGCTGGCTATATACTAAAAGCAAGGTTCATGGGAGTACCACAGCTCCAGGCATGGCTGCAACCAGGAGATTAAAACATGATCAGAGCTCTACCTCTCTTTCATGGCTCAGAAGATAAAGATTGATGATATAAAGTGCCGGTGAGTCTTTCAGGCATTCTTATGTCTTATAAGGGAAAGGAATCTCAGAAATGTCATGGGGAAAGCTTCTCTTGCTATAAGTTCTAGTAAAAGTTTCCTAGCTACCTCCAGGTAACTAATGAAGGTTCTGCATCCATTTTTCAACCAGTCAGTGTAGTCAGAGGGCCAGAATTATACTGAATTATAGATTAAAGGCATCTAGTGAAAGACTGACTCTGGACAGTCTTCTGAGCGTGGCTCCCTTTCCCAGCTGGCTGCCTTTTGAATAAAGTGTTGGCACTTTGTACAATAATTGAATGTTATTGGAGTTAATAGAAGAGTAGGATATGTTACTTTTAGAGGAGAAATTGTAACCATCTAAACGTTGTGTTTAGAAGCTCTTTTGAAACTTGGTTTCTGTCATTGTCATACTATATTGTGGAGAGAGCAAACGGTGTTTAAACATGAAAGCAAGAGAGCACAAAATAAATGAAAATCTGTTAAGGTCAGCAGACCAGGAAAAGAAAGTGGCAGAATTTCCTTGAATGCTAATCTGCAAAATGATGTTTGCTTTTCTAAGTACAAACTCAACCACTAAAAAAATCATGTAGTTGCCGCCCCTCATTTCTAGAAGCTTTTGATGGGCAGAAACTGAGAAACCATCCCTCATTTTTCAGTCCTATGGCCTTTGTTGGTTCCTCCAGGCCACCTCATTTATTGGACACCCAGATTACAACAGTTTTTTTGGTCTAGAGTTCACCCTTTAATATTCTACTAGCCCTCAAATGCCTTAGCGACGCTCAGGCCTTTTTTCCTCTGGATTGGATGAAGGCGTGGAAAGATTACTGGATTCAGAGTCACCTCTGGGGGCCTGAGCAAGTCTCTTATTACAGCTGCTCTTTTTATTTGAAAATGATTCTTAAAAAGAAATAAGCAGCCACAGGTAAGTGAACTCCCAAGTGCTCCACTCCCTAAGGGCCCCACATTGCCCTGGATCCTCTCCCAGGACTCCTAGCATGACCCAGTGATCCAGCAACGAGAAGAGAAAGATCAGAGCCAGGCTCCAGCATGGCAGCCGGAGGCCGCTCTGCCTGGCTGGTGTTTGAGCCCTACTGGTTGTTCAACATCCCGATTATCCACCTGGATCCAGGCCATTCTCTCCACCTGAGAGTGCTAGCCTCACGCTGCTACGTCTTCTGATTTAGAAGAAACATTGGAAATCTTGACGTATATATCAAACATTACAAATGCTTTGGAGTTAGAAATTAATTTAAAATATTAAAATATTAAAAGATATGAAAAGAAAGAGAATAGAATTGAAGAAAGAGGACAGTTATACCGCAGTTCCAGCTCAGAGAACAGAGCAGACGACAGCAGGAAGGCCTCTACGTTCATGCTGAGTTTAAGAGACTTTTAAACTGGCACTTCCCCGCCCTGGCATGGACAATTTATTCTTTGATTGAACAGCTCAGAGTTTGCTCTGCCTGGTATTTTAAAATAACATACCTTTTGGTTCATGGATATCCTGTAATTTTAAAAATAATTCGTTCTAGTTAAACATTTAGATTCCTTCCAAATTTTTGCTGTTATAAATAGTCTTGAAGAATATTTTGTACATAAATTAGTTTTTGAACATCTCTGCTCTTTGGCGGGAGGAAGCAAGATAAAATCCTAGAAGTGGAACGGCTGGGTAAAAGGGACACGGACATTGGGATGCTTTGGATGAAAGTACCAATTTGCCCTCAACAAACTTTGCACTAATTTATACTCCCACCAGCCTGTAGCTGTCCACTTTTTATAAATCTTCTTTGGCACTGAGTTGACATTTATATTTTAATGAACACAAAAAAATTTCTTGGAATTTTAATATCCATATCTTTTACATTAACATTAAATCTCTTTTCAAGTGCCTTGTCAAATGAGTGTCAACCAGCTTGAGAAATTTATAGTTTTTTTTTAATTCCAATTCTCCCTACGCCATCCATAAGAAGAAAGGGTTATTTATTGGATTTTATCAATGAAAGAAACTCACACCTTTGCCCTTATACTTATTCTTCCACCCCTAGTTCCAGGGCAAGATTCTCTCATGGTCCTGGCTTCCTTCTCCCGACAATGCATGTGGCTGGGAATGAAATCCTGGTGGTGGCTTGCCACAATGTTGGGTCTGGGGCCAAGGTTGCTACTCAAGGAGGGTGCGAGGTAGGCTCAGTCTCAGAATACTTTGCAAACAGGGCAGATTTCATAGCATTCTACCCGTTTCAGCCTGAGTCCAGGTCTCAGATCTTTTGCATTCTTCCCTCTTCATGTCCCTCTCTATCAAAGCACGGCTAGTTCCTGATTGGTCCAACTTTCACAAGGACTTTCCAAGAAGCGGGGACATATCTCTCATTGGCTTGTCTTCCTAAACCCACTCTGAGGAGTAGAGGTCTAATAACTATTGGCCCAACTGATTGGAAATACAAATTCAGAAAAATCTAAACATTTTCTCCCCAAGTTATGCCAACCTATATTCATGTACCAGATGCTGAGTATATAAAGATGAGTAACATCTAAAACAATATCCACCTGAATGGAACTTAAAATATAAGCTTATATTTATAAGACTTAACTTAGACTCATGGTAGACTGTATGCGTAAAAAAAAAAAAAAAAGAATCTAATATTTCACTTAAATGTAGGCAGTCTAACTTTTCTCTTTTTTCCAAGGGGAGATCATCACGACAATCTGTAAAAAATTCTTCAGTATTGCTGACAATTTGCTCTCCTTTTCTTTCCCCCTAAAATCTCAGAGCAAGCGAGTTGTACAAAGAACTTTAAATTTCATGAAACTATAAATCCTTTATTCATCCAAAAACTTTATTAAATGCCTAGACCATGACAAATACTGTTTTAGGTGCTGGGGATGCAGCAATGAACAAAAAAATCCTATGATAGAGTGATAGAGACAATGAATGAATGAATGAACAAATGAATGGTGGTGGTTAGTGCTATGGAGAAAAATAAAGCACAGTAAGAGGGTGCTGAGGAATGCGGAGGTGGCTATTTTATGTAGGATGGACATGAAAGACCTCTCTGATATGGTGATGTCTGAGCCAAGAACCAAAGATGTGGGGAGAGAACTATGATGGGGGAGGTGCGTTCTGGGCAGAGGGAGCAGAGTGGGCAGAATCCCTGAAGTAGGAACATGCTTGGTGTGATGGAGATGATAGTAAAAATCAAGCTGATGACCTTGGACCAGGGGGGTAGTGGAGGTGGTAGGAAGTGGTCAGATTATGAATGTATTTAGAGGGGATTTGTGGGTGGATTGAATATGTGATGTGAGCAAAAGATAGGAGTAAGGATGACTCCAGATTTGGGGCCTAAGCAACTAAAAATGTGAATCTGCCATTCGCTAAGATGGACGAACCACATAAAAGTAGTTGGTTTGTTCATGAGATTCATCATATATGAAAAATATGAATCTCTGTAAATAGTAGAATCACAATTAGCACCGTCAAACAGAAGAAGAATCCAGTCACATTTCCCATCTCCCACTCATTTGGGGCATATGCTCATGGAGAGGAGTTACAGACAGAATTTTGCACAATATTTCCACTCTTCTTGTCTTTGTAGTCAGTATGTATGACAAATGTGTGAATGAGGCAACATCTACTAAAATGACAGAGCTGGAACTGGGAAAAAATATAACATGATGGACTTGGTGTACGGGGTGTACAGCACAATTTCTATATTTGTCATTTCTTGTTTCATTACATTTTATACTTATAACCTTTTTTCATTTGGTGATGGCGTAGAAATAACCCCCTTGACAATGTTGAACTTTACCTGAGCCCTGTGCTCCTGGAAAATAGCAGTAGTCAAGAAATCTCTCCACCCTTTTGTGCTATGGGAAATGGCTTACTGCAGAGAACCACACTTCCCTGTATGACTGAAATAAGATATGCAGGTGCCCTCCCCCACACCTCATTTACAAAGCCAGACGCACACTTTCCAAATTCCCATTCTTTGTGTCATTAATGCTTAGTTGACCTGTTTGCCCCCACTGTCCCATCTGGACAGAATATCCACTAACTTGACTTGACCAAACTTTAGTCAGCCTTCTTCCCTCTCAGAGGCCCCAGGTTGTTGATCCGTGCTTGCAAGGATTGGAAAGCAGAAGGCGCCTTCCTAATGGTCCCTGTGAAGAGCTGGCTGACCTCGGGGGAGAGCATTCCTGATGAAGCATCTGAAGCCAGCACCTACTTATCCCCCTCCCCCACACCACTTCTTTCTAACCTCCTTTACTCCTCCCTAAGAGACAACCCTTTCTCCCTGTCCTTTGAGATGCTTCCAGATCTTATGATAGGGGTGTTCTCTCTATTGCAGTAGCCCCCATTCCCTAACTCCCTCTCCTTCCCCACATTGCAATAGTATTTTTGAATCAAATCTCTCCTCCCCTGAGTCCAGATTTGTTTTTTGCTTGACAGTCTTTATTAATTAGTAGCTTATTGTTTGATGAATGAAACAATGATGATGAATATGTAAACATATTCATTCATTTATATTCAATAACTATTTACTAGGTCCGTCTGCTGTGTGCATTCTGAGGATAAAGCAGTGAACAAAACAGACAAAATCCCTTCCCTTAATGTCAGTTAGAGCTTACATTCTAGTTTTGGGAGACAGATAAATAAGTGAACTATTTAATAGGTCAGATCGTCCCTCGTGCTATGGAGGAAATTAAATTCAGCAAGAGACAGATGAATTGAGTTGGGAGGGTTACATTTTTAAGTAAAGTGATTAGAAATACATTTATGCTATTCCTACATTTTAGAGCTGAAAGCAAGTGAAGGCTGCAGGTTTCTAACCCTGAAGTCTATAAATGGTAATTACTGAGGCTTCTGAACACAAGTGATGCCCACAGTCAACGAAGGAGGCCCCCTGACCATTTGGAGAAATGTATTTGCATTTGATTGCTTTGTTTCAAATCAAGATCATGGAAGTGAGGAGAGTTAAGATTTCCAAACTTGAGCTCTTTAGGATATAGGGCTGTTCTCCATCTGGCCTATCCAAGAGAAATTTCTGTTCCAGATACCTCTGGCCAGTGTTGCACTAGCAATAAAAATGGGTGCTAAATGGATCATCTCCAGCCAGTTTTTGGTTGTTTTCTTTTGGATTTTATCACCCCGAAAGAATATCACATCCTAGGCAATTACTAACCAACCCAAAATAAAGATTAGTTGATGTTTTGGGAAGTTATGTATTCTAGGATTTTCAAGAGTCGGTGATTTGAAGTGAAGTGTTTTGTAGTGTTTTGACAGTGTTTTGTAGCATTGTAACTTACTTAAGTAAAACATTTCCCTTTTAAATGCTTTGTGTTATACATCTGTCAGACTCTGAGATAGTTTAAATGTTTAAAAAAATGACACTGTGACTCAGTGTAGGTTGAAAGTTTTTTGTTTCATAGAAGCAAAATGGCTGAAAATTTGGAGGCTCAGAGGCCATATTTATGAATTAACGAGACTATTTATAATTGGTATTTGGTATTTTCTCAACAGACTCTGAGAGCAGACAACATAAATCCAATGAAGACAAAAGGATCGATTATGTCCAGGGTTCCCCAGAATGAGATACTAAATACCAAGACAATATTAACTATTCGATATTTCTTTTATAAAGCCCAAGAAAATAGCCCAAGTGAAGCCTGGGTATTTTTTTCCCATTATATCTGGCCCAACATATTCCATCAGTGTCTAATAAATTCTCATAACTGCTTTAAAATAACACTGCAGAGCTTTCAAATGGATAGCACTCAGAACAAAATGGATAAATGGGAAAGCTTATATCAAATCTAGTAGCTTGATCCTCTTTGGTACAAATACTCAGAGATACAGCTATTTCAACTCCCCAGGCACTTTAAAGGTAGCTAGCTCGTATTTAAACTCACTGGTGTTATATCCCAGATCACTCAAGAAGCAATAATATAAGTTAATCACTAATCTAGTACATCTTGCCCCCAAAATAATAGTAAATTATGAGAACTGCTAAACTTGCTCAATATTGTCTAAGCTGTCCACAAATGATGGTTATATTTGTAATGCCTATTGCTAAACTAGAGCAATATAGGATAAGTCCTGACTCTTGGAGTACTTGTAACCAGTATGTATAATGCTAAGCTATTAATAATTGGGTAGAGCGGGGGAGATAATACTCTTTTCTTTTCTTTTTTTTGGTGAGGAAGATTGGCCCTGAGCTAACACCTGTTGCCAATCTTCCTCTTTTTGCTTGAGGAAGATTGTTGCTGAGCTAACATCTGTGCCAATCCTTCTCTATTTTGTGTGTGGGATGATGCCACAGCAGGGCTTGATGGGCAGTGCATAGGTCTGCGCCCAGGATCCGAACCTGTGAACCCCGAGCCGCTGAAGCGGAGTGCATGAACTTAAGCACTGTGCCACTGGGCCAGCCCCAATACTCTTTTATTTTAAAAAGAGAGTTTGAAATTACTTTTTTGATTTTCCCATTTTATTCTCATCAAAATCAGATTCAAACAAATATTGGACCCATCTCATTTTCTGTTCCACTGTCTTCCCCTGTTTGGAAACACACATAAATCGTCAAATTTTTCGCCTTGGCCCACCACTGTCATCTGAATCTGTGTGGTTACTTAAGGCAGATGTTGGCAGTTTGATCGCCAAGCAAATGAGCAGATTTTAATTGGTTTGTTTGATTCAGCCTTCAAAAGACTGAAAAAAAATTCTAGAATATAACTTCAATTATTTATTAAGACAGTCAATGGGATTGTCTTTTGGGCAATTGACCAACTGAACAGTTATCAACCTGGAAAACAATTTAAGCTTCAAATGGTCAAATATCGACTATGTAGCCATGGCCGGTGTTGGAGTATGACTTGAGATTAAAAATGGAGCATCATTCACTGATTGATGGATTGCAGAGATCTGAGCCATCCACCAGGCTTCCCAAAGGGGAGGGTTTAAGAGAGGGTAGTATCATTCATATTCACTAATGGCAGAGACTAATACAGTTTCAAAGACATGATGTGTGACACAGGATTTGAGTATAGTTGGCTGCATCTAAAGTGAACCACTTTTCTGTGAGTATTTTTCAAAGAGAACGGATTGTACTAAAAGCAGATGCCTGAATTACACCTGTTTTTGATAATTGCAGCAATTTTCAGTGGTTTCTCGTTGGAACGGCTGTTGTTTGCATTGCTGATACAACCAGTTTGCCATTGGAAAATCTGCCTGCCATAGCAAATTAGACTCCTAGCAGCACAAACATTTATCTCTGCATTCATTCAATGACAATTATTGAGGACCCATCCTGTAAGGAGACTGTGCTACATCCTGGCAATAAAGTTGTTTATAAGGCTCAATCCTAAAGGAACTTTCTGTCCAGTAGGACATATAAATAAGTAAACATTTACAATGGAGTGTAATAATTGCTATGGTTAATATAAGGTCAGTATGTGCAGGAGCTAATCGCAGGGTTACCCAATCGATTTTGGTTAAGGAGGACATCTCAGAAGTGGTGTCCAAGCCGAGACAAGGAAAATAAGTCTGAGTTAGTCAAGTAGGGGTGGGGATGTGGAGAAGAGTGTTTTCCACCCAGAAGGACCACCATGTACAAAGTTCCCTAACTGAGAGGGAGTAGGGGATCATCTCAGAGAAGCTGCCCATCATGAGTTTGGGGCTAGAGAGGATAACAGGAGCCAAGTAACAAAAGGCCTTGTCAGACATAAAAAGCACATGGAACCTATCCAAAGTTCAGTGAAGGGCTGTTGAAGGTTTGTAAGCAAAATATTGGAAAGGTAAGACCTTTAAGAGTGAGGGCTGGGAGAGAAATTGATTAGCAAAACTTAAAAAGAAAAAGAGAAAACCTTTCACCTTTCATTTTTTTATTTTATTTTTTTTGAGGAAGATTAGCCCTGATCTAACATCCGTTGCCAATCCTCTTCTTTTTGCTAAGGAAGATTTTCCCTGGGGCTAAAAGCCATGCCCATCTTCCTCTACTTTATATGGGATGCTGCCACAGCCTGGCTTAATAAGTGGTGCATCCATCCACATCCGGGATCCGAATCCGTGAACCCTGGGCCACTGAAGCGGAGCATGCGAACCCAACCGCTGCGTCACTGGGCTGGCCCCTCAACTTTGATTTTTAACCAGTTATCTGTTTACTCCACTAGAATAATAACATACAGACAGCTGAGGCTGACAGCTCATAGTATGGATATTTTACATTTTCTAATGCTGTGGAAAAAAGTTATTGTGACTAATTATAGCGCCTATCTGAAGGCAGTCATGCCCCATGATGCATGAAGAGTTCTCTCTCTCTTCTGCAGACTCAGAGACAACCAAATAATAGCTTTGTGTATATAATTTCTGCCTCAAATTTAAATTTTAAAATAAGGTATGTGAAATTGCAATAGCACAATTCTTCTCTCTTCTGCTATGGGAATGAACTTTGTTTTTAAAAATTCCAGCCAAATATAAGATAGCAAATAATTATACTAAAGCCGACCTTACTATACACATCTGGTTCTTTCCATGATTGCTTTAATTATGGATAAAATCCCTGTAAAACATGCAATCATTTTTATTGGAACAGATTATTACATTTCGTAAATTTTTGAGGTTTTCTTAAGTTATTATTATTCTCTTGTTCATGCTTAAACACTCAGATCTTTCAGTGCCAAGGGTCTATTGCAGCAAAGTCAAGGTATTTAAAACTCAGGTTCTCCTCAACTTTCAGGAAGTTCCCAAGACATCACCCTGATGCCTATTGTGGGAAATGTGACAGGGTAGAGCCTGGATCCACCTAGTCCTATCCCCAAATAGGGCCATATCAATGACATTTAGTCCAATAGCTCAAGTCATTTTTAAAAAATCCATTCCTTAGTAGAAAATGTAGACAATTTATGAAGTAGACTCTGATAGACTTAAACAAAAAGATGTGTATTCAGGGTTTGTTAGGACTGCAGCCTGGGAACACAGATTCAAGTAGCACTTGAATTGTGTTCCGGAGGTTGAAGGGAGAGGGAAGGTTTTATAGTTATGTCTAACAAAAGCAAAGAAGAAAAGGGAAAGGAGTGTCTTTTTGTTGTTGTTGTTGAGGTCATATTGGCTTTTAACGTTGTGTAAATTCCAGGTTATAGTTTCTGTGTAGACAGCATCATGTTCACCACTAATAGTCTAGTTTTTATGTGTCACCATACATATGTGCCCCTTTACCCCTTTTGCCCTCCCCCCACCCCTTTCCCCTCTGGTAACCACTCATCTGTTCTCCTTATCCGTGTGATTGTTTATCTTCCACATGAATGAAATCATACGGTGTTTGTCTTTCTCCGTCTGAATGTCTTTTAACAAATTCCAGGCACAAGGTAGTCATGGGGTGAGGGTCAATTGAAACAAGCCATTAAAATTTAGGAATGTTCAAGATGACCTTGACAGAAATGAGGTCTCTGTCCCAATAATCTTTTCTTCCTTGAGAAGACTTGCAGTTGCATTTCAGGCATCTAATGAGTTCAACAGTTCATCTGAAGGAGGAATTTGTTCCTCTCCTCTTCATGTCTGCCTGGCTCCATTTTAGTGCCTTAACATGAGAGACTCCATCCTTTTTCAATTCTACAAAAATATAAAGCAAGGCTGCCAGAGGAAGAAGGAAGGAAGGAAGGAAGGAAGGAAGGAAGGAAGGAAGTAGGGAAGGAGGGAAGGATGAGGGAGAAGGAGGGAGGGAGGGAAGGAAGAAGGAAGAGGATGACCTAGTATTTGGGACCTACTTAAAGTAAAAAATTATTTGTTGTTTGTCTGAAATTCAAAATTAATTGGACATCAGTATTAGGAAAGACCCAGTCTTCTCTCCTGTGTGCCTCCTTACCTTTCATACAGAGCACTTCACTTCTGACACTTCCGTTCAGCAAATGTGTGGGCGTGTTCCCCCAACAAGCAATTCTCCACAACACTGGCTGGGTATCCTACGATATAACTCAATTCTGACACTGTCTACCTGGCGGTGGCGTTATATCCCACAGGTTAAGGGCTCAGTCCCACAAGACTGTTCCCACTCCACTTCAGATGCCAATCTCAGGTCCAGGTTGTCACCTGTGCTTCTGACCATTCGTCTATAAATCTGAGGTTCCCATGACCTCCTCCTAGGGTTCAATTAATTTGCTGGAGTGGCTCAGAGAACTCAGAGTAACACTTGTTTATGTTTACCAGTTTATTAAAGGACATGAAGAAGGACAGAGATGAACAGCCAGATGAAAAGATACATAGGGCAAAGTCTGGGAGGGTGCCGAGCACAGGAGCTTCTGTCCCCATGGCACTGAGGTGTATCACCCGCTCAGTTCATGGATGTGTTCACCCACCTGGAAGATCTCCAGACCTCGTACTTTTGGGATTTTGTGGAGGCTTCCTCATGTAGCCATGTTCAACTAGTAACTCCATTTCCAGCCCCTGTCCCCTCTCTGGAGCATAAGGGGTGGGCTTGAAAATTTCAAACTTCTCATCATGGCTTGGTCTTTCTGGTGACCAGCCCCCATCCAGGAGCCCTCCCAGAGTCACTTCATTAGAACAAAAGCTGTTCCCAGTGCTCTTACCACTTAGGAATTTACAAAGGTTTCAGGAGCTCTGTGCCAGGAACCACCAGCAGAGATCAACGTATATATTTTCTATTATCTCACAACATCATATATATATGTATATATATGTGTGTGTGTATATATATATATACATATATACATACATCATATATATGTTTATATGTATATATATATGACCTATACATATATATAAGTATATATTTGGCAATCCTACAAAAAGAGGATCTAGGAATGTTTTCCATGGAGACTCTTAACATTTCCTTTTCTCTCCTACCCACTTTCATCACGTGTGCTGAGAAGTGTCTCTTTCCATAAATTTTTCTGAATTTCTCCCATCCCTATAACATCCAATCCTTTCTAGGTCTCTCCCATGCTCCCTCTCAATCCATTCCTTTATCTTACAGATTGACCTCGCTTCTCTACAGTGGCATGGGATATCTGCTCTTTAGGAAAGAAAAGAAGGGAGAAGACAAGTTGTGCCAATTACAAGACCCTCTGCGGAGGCCTCAAGGAGGGTGGAAAGACTGTGAACATTTCCCAATTAACTTGTGTCCTGTTACATATACAGAAATTCTAATATCTTGTCAGTGGGACTAGCCCTCTCACGTCTAAGAGACCAAGCACATTTTTTTTGCATATATGTCAGTGAAATTTAAAAGTAAAATAAGTTTTGTCAAAATGAGAAACTAGTTCTATGATTATTAGACAAGTAATTTGGCTCTTTGAGCTTAAATTGTTTTCTAGTCTGTTCTAGATTTGATCACATTGTTTTTACTTTCACTTCACTATCCATGTGCTATTCTAAATCTTAGTGTAGCTCCTTTTCTTAGAAATCAAAGCTAAGCTTTGAAATTACAGGTAATTATAATTCTAATTGTCAAACAAAAGAATTCACCTATAAATTAAGACAAGAAAAATGTGATCACTCAGTAATATTCAGAGTTGGGAATTACAGACAACATTCATTAAAAGACCGAAATGAGGAACAAAACTATCACAATACCATTTTTTGTTCTTGAGAAAAATCCAAGAACGCTTTTTTCTAATTCTTTGTGAATTAAAAAGGGCTTTGACAGCTGATTGTGTTTATATTTCATGGAAAATTTCAGGCTTATCATTAGAAAATTGTAATACTATTTGCAGTAATGGCAAAGCCAAATGTTTACCATATAATTACCATTCTCCTTGCAAATTTATGGTTGGGGAGAAAGAAAATCAGACAAAGAACCTCTCAAAAAATTGTATGTGTCTAGGACGTTTGTGCAAAGGGGAAATAACAGTAACATTTCAGAATAATCATTATAGTTTGAAAAATTCTTTAGGATCCTTGGCCCCTCCTAATTACATTGAAGGTGGTTTTTAATGTGGGGGGACATTTTGGAAGGAGACAGGTTAATTAATCAGTATATAAAGTATCAAAGGATATAGAGGTCACTGTTCTAAGATTTAAAACTTCTGCCTCAAAATATACATTGATTTCTCCACAGACTCTTCCTTCATATTCCAGTTGTTTTTTCCGTCCATTCCAACCACCAACAGCAAGGGAGAGATTTTCCTTATATTCTCGGATTATTGTGTTATTATGGTCACCGTTCAACCTCTCCCCCATCCAGCTTTTATTCTACGAGATGATTAATTTTCTTAAACAATTACTTTCATGATATGGAATAATGAACTTTTGCATACTCACTTACTTCTTCAAATGCACACCTCTCGTCCTCTCGGCTCCCGTGAAACCTACCCCTTTTTCAGGTGTGGCCAGCCGTCAACAACACACTGTGGTTATGTACTCCATGCAAACCACTGACTGGTGGAGAGCTTTGGACCCGGAGTTAGAAGTCTGGCGCTCACATGTTTCTTGGTGTGTGAAATTGAGTAACTCACTGCCTTTAAGCCTCAGTTTCCTTATCTGTGAAATGGGAACAGCAATGCCTGGATCAAAGAGTGACTGTGAAGAGCAGCAGAGGGAAGGTTCGAGCATATCAATAACTGCTTCGATCAATATATTTTATTTAATGGGTTGTAAACCCTTTCGAAAAACCTTCCATGGCTCCCCTTGGCCTCCCGGACCTACCAAATTGAGACTCCTGACCCTGAAAATTTAAACCTCTAATTATGTGGTCCTATCACACCTATGCGACTTTTAAATTTTCCTTAACAATTCTCACCTGCACGTTATATGCTAGGCACTGTGGCAAACCCTTTTTACCCATTTTCACATCTGGACATCACAGCCATCCTATAAAGAAATGAGGATGAGGAAATGGTACTTGCAGAGGTTAGGTAAGTTGCCCAAAGTTAAATGGCTGGTAAGAGGGCAAAAATCAATATTTGAACCTAGGCAGTTCAATGACAGAATGTAATGTCTTAGCCACTGAGCTATACTCCGCAAAGAAATTTCTGTTTTGGCTGTTGTCGCTGAACACACTATATTTGTGCACCTTTTGCTGTATCTATTTATACCTCAAAGTCTGTTCATTTCCCTTTCTCTCTGCATCTTCAAATTCTATTATTATGACTGTGCATTTTCCATTGCCTGCTGCATAAGTACACCCAAACCTAAACTCGCTCTCCCTCAGGGAGCACTTTTGTATTGTACTGGCCAGAACTACACTGGATTACATTACCTTGTGTTTTCTCTGATGCATATATGTTTAAAAACTGCTGAGCCAGGGCCGGCCCCGTGGCTTAGCGGTTAAGTGCACACGCTCCGCTACTGGCGGCCCGGGTTCCGATCCCGGGCGCGCACCAACGCACCGCTTCTCCGGCCATGCTGAGGCCGCGTCCCACATACAGCAACTAGAAGGATGTGCAACTATGACATACAACTATCTACTGGGGCTTTGGGGAAAAAAAAGGAGGAGGACTGGCAATAGATGTTAGCTAAGAGCCGGTCTTCCTCAGCAAAAAAAGAGGAGGATTAGCATGGATGTTAGCTCAGAGCTGATCTTCCTCACAAAAAAAAAAAAAAAAAAAGATGTACTTAAAAAAAAAAACTGCTGAGCTGGACCGTCCTCAGGAGTGGGGACCATGTCTTCTATCTCTTTTCACATCCTAAATTGCATAGAAAAAACAATGGACAATAGATGGTATACAAATGCATAAAAAGAATAATTGTTAAATTCTGTAACAGTCTTTTGAGATTTGCAGTCTCACATTGTTTTGGAGGCTGTCTATTCAAGTACTACCAATCTTTTCAGAACCAACTCTTTTCTTTCTGAAATAAGTCCAGGTGATTGCAAATACTTCTTCCTCTTCTAAGCCACCACTCTGCTGACTGTTTGCACTGCCCAGTCCCTCCAGTGGTAATATCTTGCAAAACTGTGCTACAATATCACAATAAGGTTATTAGTATTGATGCAGTCAAGATACAGAAAATTTCCTTTGCCATAAGGATCTATGGTATAGGGTCTAAAAT